GGCGACAGAGACTCCAACTCAAAAAAAAAAAAAAAAAAAGATTTACAGATGTATTAATTTTAAAGAGCAGCTAGTAAAATGGTTGGGTCTATCTGGGGTTTTATTCACCACCTGTTCCTGGGCAGATCTGGAGCGGTTTTGAATCACGTCGTACATGGAAGTAAGGGCGAAGTGGCCCAATGAACACGTCAGTGAAAGTGCAGATATGAGATTTCTCGGCCATGTCAAAGAAGGAGATCTCCCCCAGCTCGTAGTCCAGGAAAACGCCGATGCCTCTGGCTTTTACTTCCAACAGTAGAGGGCTTGGCACAGCCCCTGGGGCCTTGTAGTCACCGTCCTGCAGCTGAATGCACCAGCAGCCTCTCTGGGCTGAGGGTGGCCTCCGTGCCCTCCGGGAAAGAGCATCGCTGCAGATGCCGAGTGCCCACTCAGCTGCGTCTCCCACCTGCACCTCCCAGAAGTGCCTGCCTGAGTGAAAGCATGGCAGCCCCAGGACAGCTGGCCTGACTGTGAACCTTTTTGTAAACCCAGGAACCTTTTGTTTTCTCTTGGTAAATCTCACACATGTTTTGTCCTCAGATACAAGCAGGTTAGGGTGTGCTGTTTCGGGGTCTAGAAGTATATCTACTTTGAATTTCTTGATAATTCTTCGCAGAGCAGAATACTGGGGAGGAAAACTGCAGCCTTCTCCCCTTAAATGTGCTGAGAAGATGGATGGGCTGGGCTCATTTTCAGAACTGTAGAACATTTTAATTTGCGACAGCAGTTCCACTTCAGGCAGCACGCTGAGCTCCGCCGCCCTGCTCAACTGACTTCTGAGTGTGGACATGTAGCTTGAAAATGTCATGATGTTTGCACTGAGCTTCTGCTGAATGTCCTTCTCTTCCTCTGCCAACCTGGAGAGAGCTGCATGTTGCTCACGCTCTAGAAACTGATTCAGACGCTCAAATTCGGAGGCCAGGTTCTGCCTCTGTGCTTCCACCTGCTCTCTCAGTTCCAGGGGTTTTTTGCTTTGAATGCTTATTAATTTGTGAAGGTCTGCCAGCTGCCTCTTCAGGGGCTGGACATAGCTACGGAGCCTCCTCCTGTGGTGAGAGATGGCCTCCTCGATGGGCTTCACATGGTGGCCCTGGTGGTCAGGGGGCTGAGTGCACAGGGGACACAGCACCACCAGGTCCTCCTCACAGAAGAGGCTCAGGATTCGATTGTGTCTCTCGCACAAGGGTGGCTCCTCCTGCCTCTTCTTGCGGCTCTTGGCGCCGTGGAGGAGCCTGGCGATTTCGGTCACCCTACCCAGCTGGGTGTTGCTCCGGAAGGGCCCCTCCTGGCACTGGTGACGACAGACAGGGCATGGGAACCTGTCCTGCAGCTCTGCCCAGGACTGCTGGATGCAGGAGCGACAGAAGTTGTGCCCACATTCGATGGTGACAGGGTCGCTCAGGTAGTCCAGACAGACGGGGCACTTGGCTTCTTCCTGGAGTTCTGCCAGGGCCGCTGCCACTGCCATCGGGTTGGGAGCAAAGGGCTGGACAGAGGTGGGCTTTGCTCAGGAACTGGGGCCCTCCAGTGAGAAGCAGATGGACCCTCTCCCTGAAGACAACAAATGACCTCACCACAGTCCCACTGAGTCCTTTGGGTCTTCGACCCGTTAATTCCAATTGCCAAGAAGAGTTCCAGGCACAGCCTGCTGCCAGTCACGGCTCAGGAAACAGCTGTGCTTCCAGACTCTGGCGATTCGGAGAAAAAGAAGCCACGCTGAACAGCTCTGCTTGTCAGGAAACAGCCGTGACCTCAAATCATTAGTTGTTGTGGTGAGAAGTTAGTTTTTTTCTAAAGCAAAAAGAAAAGAAACAGATCTCAGAGTTCATTTCAGGTGGTCCCGTCCTCTGACATACTCTGGTCAAGCAGAGTGCCCTCCCACTCCCAGTCTTTCTACCCACTGGGGACCACACCAACTGCTGGCCAGTCACCCCAGCTGGGGCTGTGTCAATGGCATAGGCCTTGAGGCATAGAGGCTGCACCCACATTAAAGGCAGCCTTGGGGCTCACACCTATAATCCCAGCACTTTAGTAGGTCAAGGTGGGCAGACTGCTTGAGCCCGAAGGTTCAAGACCAGCCTAAGCAAAAGAGGGAGATGTCATCTCTAGAAGAAATCAAAACTTATCTGGTCAGAGATATTGTTCTCACATTTCTGACTCAGGACAGGGTGGGATCTGGGTTCACATATGTTTAGCAAGCATTAAACAGCATATATTTTAGTTTATTTATTTTTAAACATTAATTAATTAAGTTAGTTTTGAGTTAGAGTCTTACTCTGTCGCCCAGGCTGGAGTGCCATGGTACCTGCTGGGTTCCGGCGATCCTTCCACCTCAACCTTCCAAGTAGCTGGAACTGCTTCCATGCCCGGCTATTTTTTTTACTTTTTAAAAAATTATTTACTTTAGCACTACAAAGTTAATATATTTTCAGAGCATAAAAATCAAACATCAAAAACAGGTATTGATCTTTCTCATACCCACAAATCTCAAATTATCTTCTCAATGGTAAATACTATTGGTATCATATCTTTTGTGTTCAAAACTTATCTATGTATTTAGAAGCACGCATATAGATACATGTGAAGTAAAAACGCTGTGATAAATAAACAGAAGTTCTTTTTGGCCGGGTTCGTTGGCTCAGCCTGTAATCCCAGCACTTTGGGAGGCCGAGGGGAGTGGATTGCCTGAGCCCGCGTGTTTTTTTGTTTTTTTTTTTGAGTTGGAGTCTCGCTCGGTCGCCCAGACTGGAGTGCAGTGGCCGCTCCCCGGCCACCGCAGCCTCGGCCTGCTGGGCTCCGGCGATCCTTCCGCCTCAGCCTTCC